TTCTAACGACAAATAGGTTTTGTTGTTGTATGATGTGCCGGATTTTAGAGCATCTTCATTAAACTATATCATGTAGCATAAACCATTAGTCAAAGGAGCATATGCTACGAAAAATAAGGTGTCAATATCCATGCATACCTGGAAGTCCATACCAATACCTTTTTCGTCGAACAAGTCTAAGATTTTTAATAGACGTTTCCTGTGAACCATGTAAAACAACCAAATATGTAATGATTATTTTAGCAACCGCTCACAACCAAAAATCATAACACTAAGATTTAGAACACATACCCAATACCATTAATAACAGGAACATTGTCTTTGTCCCTCACCCAAACGGCAATTCTGTCTCCCCGTAATCTCCGTGACATGACTAAGAAGAGATAAATTTATTACTAAACTTGTACAGATTTTTTGAAATTCTCCTCTAGGCAGGCCTTTACATACCAGCTCCGCAGATATCATCACCCTCATCAAGTTCTTCTCCAACGAGAGCATAAACAAGCCAAGTCCAACAACGGTCTAATAGTTGAGGATTACGCATCGAAATGACCCATTTACCACCCTGTGAAATAGTATCTTATTATAGTTAGTCGTTAATTCTATGGGTTCAGGGATGAACACATTCTGATATAATTTGTTTGTTTGTTCATACGTTGGCATTAGCGGGATCTTCCCACATGGGTTTAATCTTATCCTTGAAGATGTGGAAATTTGTGTTTACGTCCAGATGACTCGGCTTCTTTACCCAATTGAAGTAACGACAGAATGTCTGCACCTATATTGTTGAAGAGTTGAAAGTAGTTATAATGCAAGCACGATATGTAATTATGGCAACATATTAAAAGTGTTTTTCTTATCAACTCACTGTGTTGAATGTACCGATAGTCTGTAAATTTTGCTCGTAAAACTTTTCAGTCGGCGTTTTTGGACCTGGCGTCATCGCTGGTTTGCTGTCATAATACATTGTCCTAAGAAAAAGAAAAAAATTAATTACAATTGATATACTCATCCGATCATAATCCTAATCACGCATCCTATAAAATATCCCCTGCTTTCAACTGCTCTGTCAAAACTAATGTCGGTCACACCAATAACACTATCTGAAAGCAGGAGAAAAAGACTTTTTTTTTCGTCTAGCTTAGCTTGTAGACACGTACCAAGCATGCTGCAATGGATGAAGCTTTTCCTTCAAAATCTCCATTGGTAATCGTGGCGCATCATCCATGGCCGAATTATGACTTCTGGCCCTAATCAAAGGAAATCCACCCGGCACCAATAATGGGGAATTAAATGACGTCTTTCCGGTAGACGGACTCCTCTTCATTTTTTCACCGGAGAAACTCGAAAATGAATCCCCAGACAAGTTAGGCCTTAAAATAGGCGCACCCCCTAGCATCCCCGATTTTGTAAAACTACCCATAATACCACCTCTACTATCTCTCGTATCTGACCCCAATTTCAATCTAGCCCAACGTTCGTTGTTCTCACGGACAATGTTCGAGAAGTCCATTTCATTGAAATTAGGAGGTAAACTTAGACGATTGGATATCTTTGAGGAATTGCGATCGTTGGAGGAGGATGCGATCCACGGATGAGAAGAAGGACTGAGACGGGCATCTTGCGAAGTGGGTTTTGACAAGTTATCACTATTGTTCCGGTTATGGTTTCTACCAAGGGGACTTTTAGATCTTGAGGAATCTTGCTTTGGCGAGGGACTCTTCGAGCGTGGAGTGGGACTTCTCGAGCGCGAAGCCGTGCCACTGTTATTTTTTTGTCTGTCGCCAGATGGGCTTTTAGATCGAGTCGGAGAGAGTTTTCCCTTTTTGTCATTTTTTGTACGGGAGGGGCTCTTCCCGCGAGATGGGCTTCTGTCTCTGGGGTTTTTATCTCTTGAGGGGTCCCTTCTTCTTTCTTCTTGTATTTCAAGAAGTTCGTTATTCAAACCTCTGCTGGAATTGCTCGAGCTGTGATTTCCGCCGTTTGACCGCTGTGGCGGTGCATATTTTATGTTTATTGTAGGAATCGGCGAAGTCACGCTCGAAGACGACGACGAACGAGAATGTTCTGAGGGCATAGCTTGTTATTCCTAATTGTCGGGGAAGCAAGACGAGTTTAAGTAATGCTTGAAAAAGTGTTACACAATGCGCATTCATTGTTATTAGTTGCGCCGATAATAATAACATAATAGTATATAATAGTATGGTGTATAATATAATACGCATAATAACCATTAACAAATTCAGAATGAATGTTGGACTTTCCCCCCTCCCCACCCCCAGCCATTTTTTGGTTGCCCATACCAAATACTAACTTTGGACATATACGGGTGTATTCATTTAATTGTCATCCCCTCTTCTCGCTTACGTATTGATAGTTTATTCGGCATCCCTTCTTCTCACGCTAGCAACATATGCAATTGTATAACCTGATACATGTTTTTAAATTGACACGATTGACTGCGGGTTAGCGAATGGAGTGAGGTGCAACAATTTGTACAAAATGTCTAGCGAGAAAGTGGATAACTTTTAAGATTCTTTGACAAAGTCAAAGCGGGACTAAACGTGGCAACTAATTATTTTGCATGCTCACTGATCGTCTGACCATAACAACTCCAATAAAAATTTCCATTCGCGAAATTCTATTTACATAATGTCAAAAACTGCGTCCCGGCAATAATTTAAGGATTACATTGTTTCTCTTCTTCAAGCGGAAACAATGGCACTGCGGATTGAGCAAAGCTGCGGGATAATGAAAAATAAATAAATTATTGTTTATTACAAGAATTGAAAGACTCAATGTAATCAATGTCTACCTACGAACTCGCCCACAATTACGTTCTTGCGCCTTACAGGACGCAGCATGTATAGATTTTAATATCGTACGCAGTATTATTGAGGTATAATAGCGCCTTCTTACTTTCAATTACGGACACAACGCTGAAAACGAACAAGGAAAGTGATCAATGCAATGGAAATATATGAACCTTCAAAATGCTTTGATTTAGATATTTGTTCATGATTTTCTTTAAAATGTAACTTAATCGCTTAGTATTTTCAAAAAGGTTTAGCAAAAACAAAAGTTCCTTGACCATTGCGGTTAGAATGTTACCATGATGGCAAACTGCAACCACAAGGACGCAGTTTTTGGAAATATACACCGCTCATCTCTGCTTAGCAACGTTATTTTTTTCTTTCTCGATCGGCGTAACACATCATGCCAATGACGTCAAGTGTTGTTGAAAATCTATGTAGTAACAGTATGTATGCATAATTATAATGAGCGCGGACTTGCGTTAAACTACTTCTCGCATCTTTAATAGAATTCATTATGTTGAAATCAGGTGAATATTCGAAAAACACAAAAACGATAAATTTTTATTGGTAACAGTTACATACAGGTAACAAGAGTTTTCAACACATCGTCCAAATGACTTTTGTCCAACCAGTGTACAAATTATCTATGATATCAATATAGTAGACGGTGTATTAATATTACACACACTCTCTCTATATATGCAACAAAGCGAGCAGCCGATCAAAAATTACACGAACCTGCTGTATAATTACCTCTTTTTATAAATTGAACTGCTGTGCAGTGCCAACAGCATACATAATCTTAAGGGTTGCTTTTGCAAATCTTCATTTTTCCAAAAATTTTTGCTAATAGAAATAGAAGAAACCGCGATATTGGTCCAACATACGTTCGATATAACCACCTTGAAATTTAGCGGCTTGACTACTTCCACTCGCACCAAACCATGTAAACAACAGTTGGCGACTCTGTTTACCACTGGTACGGGAAAGTTTTACACTTTTGACTAATTGATGTTGAATTAAAAATATTCTAATTTCAAAAATTTATGAAAACAAACCTCGAATACAAATGTAGTTGCAAAGTGCATATATTCTTGCTGTTTTTCACTAAACTAATTATTCCAACTGTCAGAGTTTTGTTTCAAAATCCTGACGCTGGGACTTATCAACTAAGAATATTTTGATTTGTAGTCTTTCACAATTACCATTAAGGGGACAAGACTTCGAACCACGTCCAGTGTAGTGGACCGTTCTCTTGCGTAGTTCAGTCAATTCACTAAGCAGGATTCAATTGTCACATTATTGCGCAATGACAAAGACACGAAATTTATAAGGATGGAATAAGGAAAGACTTTTTCGCGTGGTGTGAAATATCCAAGACGCAGAAACTTTAAAGAAAGAAACTTGATAATTAACGCTAACAAATCGATTCCCGCTTGAATGTTTATTTCATAGGCTTATGATAAATAGAATTTCACAAAATTATATCGATAAAGTGATCGAATAAATTGAATTTTATACAACTGACATTATTCTGTCGATTTGACAGCGGCATGACAGAGATTGAATCGATAATCCTTATCCTTTCGCTGATAATTTTGCTATAATGATGTCGTAAATTGTAAATTAAAAATCGCTATTCATTGATAGTTTCCTCACTATCAGAAAAGGATGCCCTTACCTGATGGGAGGACGAGACTGATCTATCTAATGATTATTACCAGTCGTAATGGAAGAGAAAAATTTTTTTTCGTAGTTAAGACTTCAAGTCAAGCTCAAGGTCAGCAACGGTATTGCACTCTCGTTATACAAAATTGTTGGGACTTTGTCAATTACCCAAAGCAATATCCATTACATTACATATTATAACGCAGGGCTGTCACGTTGTTCGTGAACAAGTTCTCGCAGATTTTGTGGGTTCGACACAATCTCCTTTGTCGCTTTTCCCCCAACCCATAAGCCATGATTAATCGTACATAAATAGATCCACTTGTTCTCTCCTAACTACTTCATATCTCAAACTGCTTTTGCGGGTTTCTACAGAAATATTTCATGATTCTTGTTAGTATTAATAAAACAGCTAAAGACGGCAGTATTAATACATTATTAATGTTTAATCAGAGAGACATCATCCACACGATAAAAAGTTCGGTTTGAAACAGCCTTAGATAGTAAAAGTCATCATTTTTGACACGCAATTTGATCAGAAGCTTTAGTAAACCTCACCTAATGAAAGCCTTTCTGTTAACAGGTCTCGGATAATTTTTAGGTTTGACGAAAAAGTTTTTTTTTTTTTTCCAATATAAATACTTTGGGGTGTGATACATGCAATGCAAAAGAATGACGTCGACAAATTTAATTTAATCGACAAGTAATGTGTATTAGTATTATTTTGCATTTCTTTTAAGAATCGAACGTCGAAACCATGATGAACCCGCAAATAGACTTGACAGATCGTAACGGCCTGCAGGGCGACAAATGGGTGGGTCCAAAGCCCGAAATTAAGATTCAAGATCTAACCGAGGAGAATATTCGATTCACGCTTTCTAATACGGATCTAAGGTGACGGTTTTACCTTATGCCGTTCCCTTTGTGTCTTATAAAGTATCGGGTTAGATCAAACTGATCTCTGCTATAGTATGGCAAATGCGTTACGACGCATAATGATCTCGGAGGTTCCTACAATAGGTTTGTCACTTTGTTCTCTTGATCGAGCGATTCCGCAGGAACCGTTTCTAATCGAAATTTTTTTCTCTATGAAAGCCATCGACATGGTCGAAATCGAACTCAACACATCAGTGCTGGCGGATGAATTTATCGCACACCGACTCGGACTCATACCTCTTGACAGCACAGAAGCGGAAAAGATCAAATACACGAGAGTAAGTATGTAACGTGACTGTTATGACTCTTCTATTCCGGTTTGCTTATGAATTCGATTTTCATGCAGGATTGCAGTTGCTCTCAGTATTGTCCGATATGTTCTGTCGAGATGACGCTGAACGTCAAATGCACTCAGGAAAATGTAACAAAAGACGTAACTAGTAAAGACCTCATTAGCAGTGACCCTCGTGTTGTCCCTATTTACTCAGGTATTGTCTCTCGGTTGACATGGTATTTCTTCGTGAGCTCATCGCGCTGACGGATTCTCTCATTTAGGAAAAAATGCTCCGGGTGTCCTTATTGCGAAATTAAGAAAAGGTCAAGAACTTAAAATAAAGTGTATAGCCAAGAAGGTTTGTTATTGTCGATACTTGCGGCTATCTTGTGTGAAAAAGACTAAAAACTAACATGATGCTATGTTGCCATCCAGGGAGTTGCTAAAGAACACGCCAAGTGGAGTCCATGTGCAGCCATTGCGTTTGAATATGATCCACATAATAGGTTAAGACACACAGAATACTGGATTGAAGAAGATGAGAAAAAAGAATGGTACGTTTTTGCGATAAAAACCGTTGTGATTCGGCGAGACATTATTGATGTCGAGAATTATTAGGCCAAAGTCAAAAGTTGCTGCAGAAGAGCCCGAACCATCGGAAGGAGAGCGTAAGCATATTATGTTATCATTTCGAATCACGGCATTTGGAGATTTTTGCAATAATGATCTTCATATCCTCTAGCCTTTGATTATAACCTCAAGCCTAGTAAATTCTACTTTAATGTCGAGGTACGTTTTATATTATATATCTATTTTATTTATATGTATATACGTTTATATATATATTTTTATTTATTTATAATCTTTTATACAAATTATAAAAAATCTAACAATCCTCTATCAATGTAGACAATTGGATCAGTGAAACCAGAAGAAATTGTTTTGCAAGCGCTACAACGATTGCAAGACAAGCTCGGTGTTATCCAGATAGCATTAGCAGACGATGCTACTCAACAGATACAACAACAAGAACAACAAATGGCTTATTGAGCTCCAAAGTTCTTCTGACATATCTTGGTAATTGAGAAATCTGGGTTCAGTTTATTCACATTATCGGTGAATTTCATTCATAATATTGGAAATAATTATTTTATACGTCACCTCGCTCCTCGATGGAGACTCTAAACTTCTTTTGCAGAAGACCAGAATAGACGTATATCATAATGATTCTCGTTTTTGATAGTGTAATAATTACCTGAAATATCGCGACAAGTCAGTAAATTGGATTTATTCAAATAAAGGGCCCTCTGATCATATAGATAGACAATACCTCTGGGCACGAAGAACTGGTCGCCTGTCCCTACATGAAACGTGTATTTGTGTATCGTGACTTTAACAGGTCCTTTGGCCACGTAGAATACCTAAGAGCAGATTGAACCATTAACGACAACGAATAAATAATCCTTACACAATAATGCAATTGCCAATTACCAATGCCGTGTCTTTACTACTCTTGCTTGGCTTTTCTGTATCTCTAGGTATCTCGACTACTCCATAAGCCATAAAACTGCCTTCGTTAAATAATTTTTGCATTTTATACGCCTTCCCGCTTGATTTGATTGGATTCAACATTGCTGTGGTAGCCACAATTGCTAATTGATGCCAAGAAGACAAACTGCATCTTAATATCCCATGCAAGACACGGAATCGAGTCACACACCCATACTGATACATACATCGCTTGATTTCCTTATTAGTACCAAAGTCTATCACCATGGCTTCTGGCGATGTGGGTTTTTCGATATCCTCTGCTTTTGGTTCTCGATGGCTACTACTACCACTAGCCTTATTATTACCTTTCCGCTTTTTGACGCCACCTTCTTTAGTCTTGGTATTTGTTTCTTCATCATCACTGGTTATACGTATTACGTCTTTGACAACTTGGACAGGGACTCCAACTAGACAGAAGAAAAAACAAATATTAACAGATTGCATCAACGTCCAATCAAATAAGACAATTACCGACTCACCAGATTTACGCATTTCGTAAACCACCTTCTCATTCCGCCAATACTCTACAGGCTTTAACCGTTGTCGCTTGCTTCGACGCACTATTGAAATGGAAAACCAAAGCCTTTTTTCATATAATGAATCCGTTCATAAACAAATAATATATACATACGTCCTGGCGGTTCTTCATCCACTATATCTTTGTTTTCGTGTTGGTTGTCAGGCGGTGGTTTTTTTTCCACCTTTTTCTGTTTTCGTTTTATCGGTTTGTCTGTGCTTTGAACTTTGGGCTTGGTCTTTGTTTTAATCCTGTTGATATTTGAGCTAGCATCTCCAAGTGTGTTATTATTCTGGCCAATTCCAAAATCAAAGGCCTTGGCAGGCGACTTTTCCGTAAGAGAATCTTCAACATTTATCGGTGGTAATGGACTCGGACTGGGTAACGATTGTCTATTTTCGAAAGAAATTGGAGTTAAAAATCGATCGGCAGGTGGTGGGGTATCCACTCGTACTGGTGTCGATTCTATATAAATTGGGCTGGCATTTCCAGGCGTGTTGTCGTTCTGGCTAATTCCAAAATCAAAGGCCTTGTCGGGCAAGTTTTCCGTAAGAGTATCCTCAGTGGTTAGCGGTGGTAATGGACTGGGACTGGGTAGTGATTGTCTATTTTCAAAAGAAATTGGAGTTAAAAATCGTGTTGTAGGTGGTGGAGTATCCACTCGTACTGGTGTCGATCCTTTGTAAAGTTATAAAAGTCAGTCGTCGTTTTTCGTTTTTCTCATTACAAATAAACCAGTATCAACCTACTTACTCTTAAGGATAATAGCTTTTGCAAAAAAATCATCAATCTCATCAAAGCCTTCCGAGTCCTTCTTCACAGTGTTTGGTACTGTTACCCCGGTTCTCCTGCGAGACGTTGAATTTGGAGATCAGTGTATAAGCTTTGTATTCAACGTCGCATTTGTAATTGCTTGCCTCCCACGAACGCCTAATTCATAATAATTATCAATGCGGCGGGCTCTACGCGTTTCGGTTTCGTTTGGCATATTACTTGACTTTCAACTTTATTCCCAGGATACGCATCCTGATAAAAATGGTAATCTGCTAGTTGTGACGTAATATAAATAATAAGCATGACTGATCGTCACACAATGTGTCACAATTGTTAATATTAGCCCTGACAATAATAATAACGATAATAATAGTCGGCGTTTGATAAAAGTCGATCGGCGTCAATACTCGATTTCTGTTGGTCACGCAATGTGTGATAGTAAATATTCAAATTCATGTAAAGTTTGTAATCTGCGCAGCTGACTTTACTTGCTTTTATGGATATTATTCCGATATTAATATTGGTTATAGTCAAATTAAAACAAAGCCGCCTACATTTATTTTAATTTTT